GACAAATTCTAAGGCATCTAAATATGAAAAAATTTGTGAAAAGGGGAGTTTTTAAACTTTGAAAATTTTGATTGGAACTTTTCAGGAAATCGAGTTGTGCTTTTTGATAAGGTTTCAGGATTGCTTTTAGAAAGGTTGTGACAAAACCCAACTAGGGGAAAATTCGCTTGACTTGGTTTTTTCCAAAAAAGTTTCAAAAATTAAAAATTTTGAGGTTAATGATGAGCTTGGGGGAAAGTGATCACAAACCCCTTGTTTTCAAATATCATGGAATTACCCAATAACTGCAATAAAATCTTGCCCCAGTTTTTGCTTGGCCGTTCAGGGGACTGAAAAAAAATTTGGGGGGGCCCAAAAATTGGGATGTCCTAATAGGGGGCGGGCAGGTGATTTTGGGTTCCCAAAAAGGACGTTTTTTCGGGCTAGTTCTAGTCCCCAGAAAATTTTTTTCGAGTAGGGAAATTAGATCAAAAAAATGACCCAAGGATGAAAAAAAGTTTAAAACACTCATTGGTCAAAAGAGGGGCATAAAAAGGGCGTTCAAAAGAGGGGGGGGGCATTTAAGAAATCAATTATTAAATTTAAAAGAGGAAATAAAAAAAGGAATAAAAAAAAGAAAAAAGGATTATGAGGCTAAGGTCGCAAGGGTTAAAAGACAAACCCAAAGGGTTCTTTAAGTATACAGAATAAATTGGGGACAAGATTGGCCCCTTAAATAACTCGGGTCGGATCACTGACAGTGATAAGGATAATGTGAAATTCTAATACTATTCCCTCTTTTTCCCGGGGGAAAATACTAAGGGGGTATTCCTGAAATAATGGGGTTTATTTTAAAAACGGATGTAATAAATATTTCGTTTGGGGTAACTTGAATGGCCTAGCAAATAGAGAAACTAAATAACAAATCCCCAGGTCCGGAACTTTTTGAAAGGGGGTTTTAAAATGATGTAAAGAGGAACTTACATCCTTTTGGGCAAATTTTTTTAACTATCACTAAAACTGGCATGTGCCTGAAAGGGGAAAAAATGGCAAATGAAATACCTATTTGAAAGGGCAGGTGACAGTCCTTGGCTTCAAACTATGACCAATAAACCTTACCCCTAGGGGGAAAATTAGGGAAAATCAATTTTTTGAAGAAATTTCGTAGATCTTGACAGGCCAGTTTGATTAATGATTTCAACACGGTTTTAAAAAAGGGCGTTCCTGTCTTCAAATTTTTAAACTTTTTCACAAAGGGTGTTGAGGAGGTGTCATGGTAATAATATGATATTGTGTATAGGACTTCATAAGGCTTTCGATGATTCCACACCAGGGTATTGAGGAAACTTGGGGCCCCGGGAAATAGGAAAAATTTTTTCCTGGGTAGGGGCATGGCGACAAATAACAGAGAGAGTTTGCATAAATGGGAAAATCAAAGGGGGGACTCAAAAGGGGTTTTCCCTAGGGGTCAGGTTGGGCCCCGTTGTTCACAATTTACATAAACGCATAGTGGGGGAATAATAGCGACATAAAAAATTTCTGATGACACCAAAATGGGGCCGTCCAATTCATTCAATAGGGACATTAGAGCACCCAGGATGATTTGAATAGCGACGCAATCGTCGGAGAATGGCAGATGCATTTAATATTGACAAATGCAAGTTCAAAATTTTTGGAATTAATAACCATGCCACATATAAACAAAAAATGTAGATTTAATACTACCGATTGCGAAAAGATTTGGGAGTTCTGGTTAAAGTAACCCCAAAAAAAGACAACGTGCATTAGTGTTCGAAAAAAAGCTAACAGAAATTTTTGGGTTCATTTTAAGGTATAAATAAAAGAAGTACTCAGGTTGTTTTCACTCTATCCCTTGGGGTTGGCCCCATTTAGCTATGCTGCTCGGTTCTGGTCACCATATTAAAATGATTAAATGTCTGAAAAGTACAAAAGGGGGATGACAAAAATGATCCCCTCATCAGAAATCTTCCCCTTTGGGGTGCTGAAGGCCCGAATCTGCACTCTCTAGAAAGGGGTAGAAATTGGGGGGATATGATCGAGGTGTATAATGGAAAACAGGGAAAAAATAAAGGGGATGCAAATTTGCGTGCTGAAAATTTCCCCCCCCAAAACAGGACCGCAGCAATGGGTTTTAAAATTGGAAAATTCAGATTCAGGGAAAGGGTTAGGAAAACACGGTTTGGTAATGAGTTGTGGGTAGTGGAAAAAACTCCCGAGTACGTTATGAGGGTAAAACGTTTGTAGTTTTAAAAAAAGGTTGATAATACATTGTGGGCGTGGGGGGTGTGAGTTTTTGGGCCTGTTTTGTGCTGCGGGGGGCTGGTGCGTGCTCCCCTCCTTGAGTGGGGAGACCCGATGGGTGGGTCATTGGGTAATCCGGGGGGGGGGTCATTAGTCTAATCCGGGGGGGGACAAAGGACCCCTCCGCATGGGGAGTAGGCCTGTTGCGTGTTCCTTCTTTCTTTTGTTTTTAGTTGAAGCATGGAGTACCGATAAATGGTAAAAACACTTAACGAAGCTTACTAAGTCCCTTGATGAAGCCTCGTGTTTTTTGAAAGTCGATCTAACAAAGGTCCATTTCCTTAAAGTATTATAAAACATTATAGCTTTACTCTTTTAATTTAAAAAGACTTTGATTTCGACAGTGAAAAAAAAAGATAGTAGTGTGAGTCCAGTGTAGACGGGATAAGCCTGAGCTGGAAGAGTTGGTTTTAATTTTTATTTTTACCCATACCCATCCCGTGGCGGGGGTCGAAAGATTGCAGAGGGACAAAATTTTTCCAGGGAACGGGCCGCAATGTTTTGATAAATGAACAAGTTACAGTGGTAAAAACTAATGTTTATACTGGTTTTTGTTGAATGGTTATTTAGCGCGTGCAAAAGGGCGTAAGGTTTTACACAACAACTAAGCAAGTTGCAGCGGCTATTGTTTATGATAGGGGTCTAATCACGTACTCTGACAGAAAAATAATTTTTTAAAAGATTTTAAACAATTTTTAAATAGGATAGCCATAAGTCCGTTGAAACATGAACCTTAAAACATTGGGCGAGCTTGGGATCTCATCCACAGTCCCTTTTATACCCCCGCTGGTTTTGTGTTCCCCCCTAATCGACCTCAATGTTTCAGTGTTTTAAAAATGATCAAACGAAATCTTGGGGAAAATCCTTTCAAAAAATTTCGCCAGAGGTGACAAAAAATTTCTATCATCTGCGAGGATTGTAACTCAGAATGCCTTCGTACTCAATAAAAAAATCTTTTAGGACTTTTTCCCAAACATATGTCAGGCCATCATGGTTAACAACCCATTATGGGCCCCCCCCCCACCTACGAGCATGTACGAAAAATAGAAAAGGTCCCAGATTTTCAGCAAATAGTCGCAGGGGGGGAAGAATAGACGAAGAATGAAAAGGAAATGAAACCGACGACTTCGACGAAAGAAAGGGTTTGGGGGAGAAGAAGAAAACACAAAGATACTCAGAATTTTTAAGGCAGACGAAATGAGAGGCTAGGAGAGAGGGACATAGATGGGGAAAATAAAAACACGATGAACTAAAGGGATTTAAAAATACTGTTTCAGTCTCAGAGTGGTTAAAATTAATAAAGGCTAAAGAAGTGGAGAAGCAAAAATTTAATACAAAGTTTTAAAAGAGTTTGATAGGGCCCCTGGGTCAGGAACCAATAAAGGGCCCGGCGATTGTGGTTTAAGGGCGGGGGGCCAGGCACTGAATCGACCCTTGAACCCCATATAGGTGGACGCACACCCATAACATCACCTTTCCTCAAGGGGAGGGGTGACGGTGTCTTGATGCCCGGAAAGGATCCTGATCCCAAGGGAATTTCAGCTGCCCTTTCCCCTTCCCGTATCAAACCTGACTGCTTGTCTCCTCCAGGGGCCGTATGATGACCACTACAGGTTTGGGGCTTCCCCTAAAATAATAATCCCCGAAAGGGAGTACTGGGGTGGGGCAGATTAAAGGGTAAGTGTACAAGCCACATTAAGGAAGCCCATGCACTTACTAACCTATTTTTAAGTGGATATGACAATGTTATGTAGGGGGTTGTGTAAGACAGGGGCAAGCACGCCGTATGGAGACTTCAATGACTGGGGCACGGAATCCTTGGCCTGTATCAACACGCTTGGCGCTGAATAATTTGAAAAATGGCCCAAACCAGCGGACAAAATTTTTTCTTAATCACAAACATGACCAACTCTTCCAATTTCTTTGTTTTCGAAACTCGTATTTCGTATCTCTCTCTCCTCTCCCTTCCCCTTCCCCTTTCAACTGATTTTTGATCCTTCCCGTCCCCCGCCATCCTCCCCCTTTTTTTTGTCTCCTTTTTTGTCTATCCCCCCCCCCTTCTTCCCCCGTTGTCTATTTAAACCTCCCCCCCTTCCCCCAGGGGCCCCCCGGCCCTCAACACATCTACAGCCCCCGGCACAAAACAAGGGGGCCTCCTGGCATAAGTAGCCTTACCTTTTTCCCCGCAAGAAGGGTCTCTTTCCTTTTCTATTGAAAGAATGTTTGATGAAAGGGTTTGCATTCTCACTATTTTTTGCTATAAAAAGGTGGGAGGGTATCGAAATCAACAGGGGCTCTTCAAATGAGGCTGTACAAACGTCAAACTTAAATGAAGGAGAAGCTTAGGATAGGGGAGGTGTTTGGGTGTGGAGGTCTATAGTGGGAGGGGGGTGAAGAAGTTTGTTTGGTGTAATGACAGGGGGTGTAGGGGGGGGGGCAATATTAGGAGTGAAGTGGTGGGTTTTAGATAGGGAAGGGGGTGTTGGGTTGTGATGACGCAAACTCTGTAACATATTCTATTTCTATCCCCAGGCACATGAGCGAGTACCTACCAACTACCTGTACTCACAAGCCTGCAACATGTACACTACACTATAGGGACGCAATCTAACTGTCTCCCCAAGACTGCAACACAACGTAGTACTGACCTGGGTTTAATTCCAACTTGGCTTCTGGGGTTCTTGAGTCCTATCTTTGGGGTGCTGTATACTGTAGACATCTCCCTCACCAGGTTGTTGTACTGTTATCAAAAATTGTATTAGGGGGCCCCTCGACCCCAAAATGAAAGAATACATTAAAGAACCAGGTCGATAGTGCCCAAAAAAAGAAACAACACAAAACAGTTCGGGCTGCAGTACCAAAAAATTAAAAAAGACAGGGGGAACAAAAAAGTTGAAGGATCAGGTTATGGAAGGAGGAAAAAAAGAATTTGAATGTGTAAATTCAGGATTTTGTGGATTAAAGTAAAGGTTGGATGCGAAAATGGGTCATAATAAGCGTGTATGCACCCGGAGAAGAGAGGAATGTAGAGGAGAGAGAGAAGATTTTGGGAGATGTTAGGGGAATGTATAGGACTTTGAACCAAGTGAGGAGTAACGTGGTAGGGGGCCGAATCTAAAGTAGGGAAACTTTTAGAAGAGGGTGTGGGAGGGGAATTTGGGGTGCAGGGGGAAAAAATAATGGGAGCCTTTTTTGAACTTTGTAAGAAAGGGGTTTAGTTTAGGTAATAATATTTTTAAAAAAAAGAGGATAAAAAAAAAAAATAACAAGATATGATGTAGGGCGAAATGACAGTTTTTGTTTGGATTATGTATGGGGGGATAAAAAGACTGTTAAGACTTCGGGGACATTTATAGAGGGGCCACAGATTATAGACACTTTTTTTTGTTGTAGCTGCACTGAGAGTAAAAGGGGAGATGGGATCAAGGGAATAAAGCTCAGGTAAAGAGAGGCGAAAGGTTTTTTAAAATAAAAAAGGAGGCAGTTGGGTAAGATATAAACAGCTATTGGAGGATAGATGGGCTAATGAGAGCATAGGCAATGGGGTCGAAGGCATGGGGAGGTTTAAAAATGTTTTAGGGTTTTTTGCAGAAGTTTGTGGGGGCAGGAGGGAAAAGGAGCATTTGGTTTGGGAAGATGATGTAAAAGAGTAGAAAGGGAGAAAAATAACTATGAGAAGTTTTTTTCAAAGTAAAGTGATGCAAGGGGGGAAGAGTTATGGAAAAAAGAGGAGGGTTTGAGATGGTTTAAGCAATGTAAAAAGAGAGCAAATGAGACAGTGGTGAGATTTACCCAAAAAATTTTTTTGAAAAATAAGAAAAAGTTTTGGAGTGGTTAACAAGTTAAGGGAAACCTAGAAAACAATGGATTTTTCGTTAAAAAAAGGAGGAAGAGTTATTAAATGGGAAATTAGAGGGATTTGGGGGATGGAGGGGAAAAGTTTGGGAATTGTTAAAGTTGATGAAGAAGGGAAGCTGGATTTCGTTATAGGGGAGGAGGAATAACATCTTTTGAGTGAGGAAAGGGCCCGATGTGAGTGTGGGGGAAGTTCGTGAGGCGGTAGGAAATAAAGGGGGGAAGGGAGGGGATTTATGGGATAAAGATAGAAAAGTTTTTAAAAGCAGGTGGGGATTGTTTTGGGGTGGTTGGTGCTATTATTTAAAAAAATGTTGGAAGAAGGTAAGGTACCCAAGGGTTGGCAGAGAGCTGCATATTTTTTTGTTAAAGCAAAGGGGACAAAAAAGAGTGCAAAAATTAAGGGGGATAAGTTGTTGATATACCTGGTAAATTTTTTGGTCGAGTTGTTTTGAAAAAATTAAGAGTAAGATGGAGAATAGGTACGATGAACAGGGGGGCTTTGGAAAGGTAGGGGGTGTGTGGACCAGGGGTTTACAGTGAAAATATAAGTGAACGTATTTAGAAAGGCTAAAAGGTTTTTGTGGCATTTTTGGATTTGGAAAGGCGTTGAAGGGGGATAGGGTGGGATGTGGGAGATTTGCGTTATGGTTAAGGTAGGGGTTTCGGAAAACGTGAAGAGTTTTTACGAGGGTTGAGGTCAATTAGAGTGTGTAGGAAAGATGGAGATTTTTTCCAGTAAAATAGGGCCTTTGACAAGGATGTGGATGTCCCCCGTGGTTTTTCAATAATTTATGATGGGGGGGTAAGAGAATAAATGCGAGGGTCTTGGCAAGAGGTGTGGGGTTAAAAGATAAAAAATCACACATAAAGTGGGAGTTGTCACAGTTGCTCTTTGCTGATGACACTGTGCTCTTGGGAGATTCTGAAGAGAAGTTGCAGAGGTTGGTGGATGAATTTGGTAGGTGTGTAAAAAAAGAAAATTGAAATTGAATACAGGAAAGAGTAAGGCTATGAGGATAACAAAAAAGATTAGGTGATGAAAGACTGGATATCAGATTGGAGGGAGAGTATGGAGGAGGTGAATGTATTCAGATATTTGGGAGTGGACGTGTCAGCGGATGGGTCTATGAAGGATGAGGTGAATCATAGAATTGATGAGGGGAAAAGGGTGAGCGGTGCACTTAGGAGTCTGTGGAGACAAAGAACTTTTGTCCTTGGAAGCAAAGAGGGGAATGTATGAGAGTATAGTTTTACCAACGCTCCTGTATGGATGTGAAGCATGGGTGATGAATGTTGCAGCGAGAAGAAAGCTGGAGGCAGTGGAGATGTCATGTCTGAGGGCAATGTGTGGTGTGAATATAATGCAGAGAATTCGTAGTTTGGAAGTTAGGAGGAGGTGCGGGATTGCCAAAACTGTTGCCCAGAGGGCTGAGGAAGGGTTGTTGAGGTGGTTCGGGCATGTAGAGAGAATGGAGCGAAACAGAATGACTTCAAGAGTGTATCAGTCTGTAGTGGAAGGAAGGCGGGGTAGGGGTCGGCCTAGGAAAGGTTGGAGGGAGGGGGTAAAGGAGGTTTTGTGTGCGAGGGGCTTGGACTTCCAGCGGGCATGCGTGAGCGTGTTTGATAGGAGTGAATGGAGACAAATGGTTTTTAATACTTGACGTGCTGTTAGGGTGTGAGCAAAGTAACATTCATGAAGGGGTTCAGGGAAACCGGCAGGCCGGACTTGAGTCCTGGAGAGGGGAAGTACAGTGCCTGCACTCTGAAGGAGGGGTGTTAATGTTGCAGTTTAAAAACTGCAGTGTAAAGCACCCTTCTGGCAAGACAGTGATGGAGTGAATGATGGTGAAAGTTTTTCTTTTTCGGGCCACCCTGCCTTGGTGGGAATCGGCCAGTGTGCTAATAAAAAAAATAATAATTAAAGAATCAGGGCCATCTTGTACCAAGAAGTTAAACAACAGTCACACTAAAGTGTCACATCACTGACCTAGAGTGGGGGCCGAGGACTTACCTTCTCGAGGTCATGCTTGGGGAGAGCAGCTGTACCAAGGATGGACATGAACTTGAACTGCCTCTTAAGGTAGGGATCACTCAGGGTCTCCCACTTGCCGTTCCACTTACGAACTCTTTCCCAAGCTTCCTTCTCCCACTCTGCATATTTCAGCTCCGCAGCCGCCTGTTTCAAACAATCACATTAATATTTCTCTAATAACATGTAAAATAATATATATTAACACACTCGATTAGTTATCACGATGCAAGTATGAGAAGTAAACGTAATTGTTACGTGGCTACAAAGCATAAAAGGAGCAACGCGAACCACAACACTGCAGTTAACTTAACAACACAAACAACACAACACAAAGTTAACTTAACTAGAATTAACAGAAATACCCGTTCTTATCTTAATGCCCTATTAACGTCTAGGTGTTAATTATTCGGTATGGATACAAGGCAAAACAGGAAAGAGGGTAAGAATGAAGGAGGATGACCAGAATGAAGGGGTGAGTATATAGTACAGAATGAACCAAAAATATCCACAAATCCATCACAAACTCTCAGCACTGCATATTATATTAACGGGGAAGCGCCAAACCCATGGATATTATATATTCGTCTGAGGAATGGAACGAATTAATTTTATTCAAATAAGGGAAGGGTGGATCCAATTCCGCAGATCAAGAGACGAGCCCTTCACCGGCCTCAAGAGTATGACGATTGCAACCCATGGTACCGATTTTCACTGGAGGCTCCCTATGCCTATCCCGGTGAAATAACTCCTCTAGAAAAAAAGGCGTAATAACTGTCTGCTGTTTAGGGAGTATCGACGGTGGTAACGTCATTCATGTAACATTGGGTAAGAGAGAACCGGAAAATTGCAGTGGTACACCTTTGAATGTCATACATATGCAAGCCAACTCCAGTAAGACCTGCACTATGGAAATGATTCAATCCTCCGAGTAGTGCACTACAGTTGGCAGCAATGCCGGGAGATATCCAGACAATGATTGCTTTCATACTCCTCCGAAATCAAATTATGATGAATTTAGAAATATTCATACCAAATAAAAGCGTTTGGTTCTTTGTAAGAGAAGTACAATTGGGAAAGAGTGAGGTCCCTTTCTCGGGAAAAAGGGCCCCAAGTTAAAGAGCTTAAATCTTAGGAACAGGAACTTGCCCTCTGTTGTAAACTTTTTAAACATGGGTCTAAGGTCTCACAACACATTAAGCAGCATTCACTTTTCACGGATATCTAAAAGGCAAGTGACCAATTAGACTTCTAGAACCAGGTTTCATACTGCCAAAGGAGTCGTGGACCTTAAACTCAACAACACTTATGTGTGAAACATGGGATCAGAAGTAATAGTTCTGGTCTAATCTAGAAAATAACGCAGTACTCACTTTTTCTTTCTTGTGCTTCTCTGTGATATCCGATGCATAGTTCCAGCTGGTCATGGTGGCCACTGTGCATTCTTCTGATCCCTTCACATCCAACTCATGCAGGAAGTTTCTCGCGTCCTCTTCTAGCTGCTCAGATTCGGTCCGAACATGATCTGCATTATACACACAATATTAGTTATATCAAAGTCATACAAATACAAGTATTATTTATCTAATTTTATCACTAGCTACATGTAACATAGCCACCAGCCTACCTACACTCATCCTAAGAGATTCTCATCAACAATTCGAGAAGGAACCTTTAGATGATATCTCAACTTGATAATGGTCCTGTACCAGCCGAAATGTCGTTTACTGTTTCTTCCCAAAACTTTGGAAGGCTTTTTTCCAACTGCAACAGCTGGTAAATCTTACCTGGAGAAAAGTTTCGATTTATTTTAGGCTGTGTTGGTCCAAATTTGCGTTTTTCATACAAAAAAAAAAAATATGGAAAAAATGAAACAGGTTTACATGCGATAATTTCTAAGTACTTTATCCAATTGTCCTACGTCTTAATGCTGACAACTTGATAAAGCAAACTGTGAGAGACGTCAAACTTAAGATGTTGGTGTATTTTAGGATATTGATCCCTCGGAGATAACAAGCGAATTCCTCTTCAGTTTGGCTTCAAAGCTGGTGTTTCTTACTGGGAGGTTTGAATTAGTCTTAAGCTTTTGTATCTCCTAATTTGCAATTTAACTGAAGAAATTTAGCTATTAGTGTCCATGTTTATAACTTCTGAATATCAAGTCTAATTCGTATCAAATCTTCACTGTTAATATTTAATTGCATTAGAAACTTATGCCGCACTCAGTACTGATATTTTTCCGTGCACTGATATACAGAGGGCTGGGGCTATGCAATATGGGGATACCTTTCTTGGATCGTGCAGCAGCCAAAATACATTTAGATTTATTTCAAACTCTCACAAGAATCCACTCCACTAGATTTTCATAATGTTGAGCCATATACCGTAATATAAGTTTATATAAACTATTTGTTTATATATTTGTTTAAGACAGCCTAGGGTAGCTGGGTCTGATTCCCAAGACGTTGCTATGTTTCCTCAGTGCCTAAACCTTTCACCACTTAACTTCCTAGTCTTTATCTACCCATGATCTGCTTTATAAGAATTTTGTCCCTTCAGTTAGACTCCCGTGGTTCTCGTTTTTCGAAAACTGGGTTCATCAGTGAGCGATCCTTTCCATGAAAGATCCACAGCTCTCGTTAATTATATTAACAAATTGTTGTAAGATAATTAACAAACGATTTGTGTAGCACTCTGAGATCAGGATCTGTTTTTATAAGTTAATCTGTACTGTTGTTAATGGTTCCTGGACGGGTATGAGGTGCATAATAAATATAGTAAAATAAACTTCCCGGAATCATTGTTCCCACGATCCGGTCTAACACTGAACTTCCTAAATTTGAAAGGAAATACTACAGTACTAAGAAACACGGAGGAAAATTAAAGTTAACAAGATTTACCTGTTATTTTGCATGTTCGTAAGACAAATTAAAGACAAGCAATCCTGCCAGCATACGAAACATTTAAGACTGGGCGTTTCCCACTCGTATAACAGAACGGTAGTACATCTCCATGGTTAGATTTGGAGGGTTGCTGTCTACCATCCTAACTCTCCCCATCAGTTTTATTACTCTTTATTTCATCTTGGTACATAACTTCAAAATGACTTTCCTGAACACCAACTTTCTTTGAGAGGACGAAAAGGCGACCATTAGCAAGTTGGTTTCACTTGACAATGCGCCTGTTTTATCTTATAAAGCCTACTACCACTCGACTTCATTCTGGCAAATATTTTTGTGTTCCGATCGATAACAGGCTTCCTCCTGCCGTCGAACAAAGCCGAAGACGTGTTTTGTTCCCAGTCACCATCAACGCACATCTCAGTTCTGCTTCTTGGTACATGGACTATCTGAAGTTGTGACCTTTTTCACAATTCCTTATGCTGACACGGACAGTCAAGTTGCACTGTTACTTGTCCCAGATCATGTCGTTTCCAGTTTTCTGAACAAAACAAATAACTTTCACTCGAGGACTCCAATTCACCATTTCCCACTGTCGTTGTATATTTCCATATTAAGGCTTGAAAATATTAAATTCTTCTTGCTTTCTTTGACTGCCCAATGGTTTTATTTTTCCTGTAGAGGGTGATAAGCGAAACTCCGTTCATCCTCAGTTATATGGAAATTCATGTAAGCAAACACTACCTGGAGTTTACCTGGAGAGGGTTTCAGGGATGAATACCCCCGCGGCTCGGTCTGAGACCAGGCCTCATGGTGGATCAGGGTCTGATCAACCAGGCTGTTACTACTGGCCGCACGCAAGCTGACGTACGAACCACAGCCCAGTTGGTCAGGTACTGACTTTAGGTGCCTGTCCAGTGCCTTCTTGAAGACAGCCAGGGGTCTATTGGTAATCCCCCTTATGTATGCTGGGAGGCAGTTGAACAGTCTTTGGCTCCGGACACTTATTGTGTTAGTCTCAATGTTCTCGTGGCGCTCCTAGGACATATTGATATCAAATAAATATTTGAATTAAAATGGAATTTAGTCACAAGTTGTTTGGATATAATTATCTTTTATAATATTATGTCATTGTGTTCAGTGTTCATTGTCATTTTAAACTTAGCAGAATTTTGTCTATGGTGTTAATTGTAATCTAGACAGTGGAGAGTAATTTTTCAATTAGTACAAATGAATGGTATAACTGTAATTATTAATTACATAATCATTGATTGCTTTAATTTTGATTTGACTTAACTGCTATATGAAAAAATGACTAGCACTTCATACAATGCTAATATATATATTGGTTACTTACACTGTAACCCTGTTTTATGCTCCATATAGTGCTTATGTAGAAATCAGAGTACTCTTAAAAAAATCTGAGCAAATTTGTTCCGCCCCTTCCCTCCCCAGTAGAAAAGTGAAATCCAGACGCCTTTACTGCAGACCCTCATGGAACATCTTGCTCTACCTACTCTTACTGTTTTTCCTGTCTCTTACCCCCCACCTTTCCTTCAGAGAAAGTCTGTCCAGACGGTAAAGTCTGCCTTTCCTTTCATTTCCGAAGCCTCACATCTCTGCTGTAGACTCATGTTCACACTTCTTTTAACATTTCAAATCACATTCAGATGCTGCTGTTGTATACACTGATGATTTCAAATTTTATGATGCAGTGGGATATACTTATATTTTTTACTATGTCATCAGAGGACGACCGCTGGAGATAACCTGGTGTTTTCAGAAGAGAAGTGCAATCCACAACGCTACCATAACCCCTACATGTTTTGTTGACCTTTAAATTGCATTATAAGATATCTAGACTTTCAAGTTCTTAACATTCAATGTTGGTTGTGAGTAACCTTCTGCAGATAGAAAAGGGTCCCTGGCCATTCTAGTGTTGAGGGCAATGAACTTGTTGAATAAACTGTGCACGTTCAGCAGTTCAGGACCCTCCAGTCTCCTGCAGGCGGTTCCCCTATTCACACTATTTTCCAGTGATGACTCAGCTCTTACGTGACCGCTGGCAGCGTTGATCGTTGGGTAGGTTAGATGGCCAACAATTTTTTTTAATCAAGCCACAACTAAACTTTCAGCCAGCCTTCGTCGTTATCGACTGCATATTGATCAAACCAGACTCTTACATGGTCATATAGATAAGTGCCCTGTGTGCAAGGCTGACGAAGACCCATAGCCTCGGAGAAGTGACTATAATGGTTACAAGGAAATGTTGGGCCTTTCATTGAATCCGTTTGAGTATGTTCTTCGATTCCCCTCACTGTCCATTTTTTTCTTATAAATTGCACACACACACACACGCACACCAGGAGCTGCGAATCGACCCCTTCAACCACAAATAGGCAAGTACGTACGTGTGCTTGTGCGTCCTCTTTTGTAATGTTCGACTGCCTAGTAGTATGTACTAAACCGGTCCAACCTGAACTCAGCGTTCACAGTGGATGACCTGCCTTCAAGAACTTGGTAGGAGTGCTGCCCCACTGTTGTGCTCATTTCTTGATGACTGACTGTTGCAGCCACACCTCATCCATATCTCAAAGTTTATACCATTCATATCTGGAGACATGAAAAACAGCACATATCTAGGTATATACAGTCTACTTTATTCCCTCCTCTTGTAGGGATTATATATGCTTATAAGGGTATACTACAGACTGAGACCTTACTGACGCTCTTGTGGTGGAATTTTATCAAACAAATTCGCTAAATAAAATGACGCCATTATCTTGCGGTCACTGCACCATTAATAAATAGGGGCCCGGTGGCCTGGTGGCTAAAGCTCCCGCTTCACACACGGAGGGCCCGGGTTCGATTCCCGGCGGGTGGAAACATTTCGACACGTTTCCTTACACTATTGTCCTGTTCACCTAGCAGCAAATAGGTACCTGGGTGTTAGTCGACTGGTGTGGGTCGCATCCTGGGGGACAAGATTAAGGACCCCAATGGAAATAAGTTAGACAGTCCTCGATGACGCACTGACTTTCTTGGGTTATCCTGGGTGGCTAACCCTCCGGGGTTAAAAATCCGAACGAAATCTTATCTTATCTTATCTTAAAGCTCAGAAATCGAGAAAGAGGTGTGCAACAAGTTACCATGCTGATAGTAATTAGGGTGCCTCAGAGCTCTGAAAGTAGTAAGTAGTGTGTATACAGGTAGCACTGTAGCTCAGAGCTCTGTAGTGTATACAGAGCTCTGGCTGGGAGTAATAAGTAGTGTATACAGATAGCACTGTAGCTCAGAGCTCTGTAGTGTATACAGAGCTCTGGCTGGGAGTAATAAGTAGTGTATACAGATAGCACTGTAGCTCAGAGCTCTGTAGTGTATACAGAGCTCTGGCTGGGAGTAATAAGTAGTGTATACAGGTAGCACTGCATCTCAGAGCTCTGGCTGGGAGTAATAAGTAGTGTATACAGGTAGCACTGTAGCTCAGAGCTCTGTAGTGTATACAGAGCTCTGGCTGGGAGTAATAAGTAGTGTATACAGGTAGCACTGTATCTCAGAGATCTGGCTGGGAGTAATAAGTAGTGTATACAGGTAGCACTGTATCTCAGAGCTCTGGCTGGGAGTA